TTACTTTGATCTTACATTACTCTTCCTTGGATATATGTTTTCTCTCTTGAGTGGACTTTATTCCAAGCTTTCTTCTTTTGGCTGCCTAAAAAGTCTTATTGGCTATAAACACTCAAATATTTTATCTATATCCCCATACATAAGGCATAAAATATCAACAATAAGTCATTTCATTTGAAGTTGAGATCGAAAAGAAAGAATGCTAGTATATAAGTGCCATACAAAATATTTTTACTTTAAGTTTAGAGACGAAGAGTAAACTACATTCAAAGAATTATCCCTTAATGAAGAACATCCATGTGTCCTTAATCTAATAAACCAAAACAACAAAATATCTTAATATAGTAAAATAGTCTCTATATTTAGACTAAGTTCAGATTAATTTATCCAAGTTCTTTTTAGAAGAAAAACACAATATGTTATCTTACCATTCCTAGGCTCAGAGACCTTGAACCATTATTATCCATATATAAGGTTTTAAAAATTCAAGATGTCAAAACCCGAGTAAATTGCTTACTTATGGCTTCTGTAAGTTCTCGCCATTGCGGCATGATAATCACACTCTTCCTCGCCTCCACAATGTAATTCTAAACATTTACAAAGGCTAAATAGGTGGTTCATTTTGAAACCTCAAACTGTTCCAAAAGCCACTCGAGCAAGCCATGACACTCGTTTTTGTATTTCTTCTTTCCTTCACATTCCATGTCAACTCCACCTAGCCACTAAATTCCATACCTAACATTTGAACTCCCTTATTCTGTTTCCAAATTCCTCTTTTCTCCTTGTGAATTCATTCTCGATCATAAGCCTCTCAATGCATAAAATGTCTTAAAAGTTCCCATTATCTTTTGACCATAAAATGAAAAAAGTGTTAGAATAGTATTAGATCTCAAGAAAAAGAGATAAAGTTAAAATGCCAAATATGAAACCAATAGAAGAGATTGTTTGACATTTCTTTAGCATTATATGGTCTTATACCTTTTTCTTTGAGTGTTTAATCTCGTTTCTTTTTTTCCATTTTGGTAAGAATTACAAAGAAAAGGCGAGCCTCTTTCCCTCCCTCTTCACCTTAACTATGGAGGCTTTTGTAAAAGTGATTCAAAATGTGGAGCCTTTAATCTCATTCAAGGTCTAAGTGTTGGCTAAAACATCATAAGGTTGTTGTGGGCTTTAATGAAGGCTTGGGGATGGAGAAGAGCTCAAGTTGTAGTATACAAGCTTAGTTATAAGGATGGCAAGTTAACCCTTATTAAAAATGTCTTGTCCTCCCAATCCATGTCATTTCTCTTTTCTCGTCCTTGTTAAAGTAGCTAAATATTTTAAAGTTATTTAAGGCCAATCTTATGATTGGTTTCTAGTTTGCAACAAGGTCCTCATCATTAACCTTTTTTTTTCAAAAAAAAGATTGATAAAGTTTTTTAATGCCATGATTTTCTACATATTGATAAAGTTTCTAATACCATTATTAGCGTACCCATTTAAAAAGACTAAAATACATTATTATATACTATACTATTTTTTAATATTCAAATTTCACTATATACTTTTTTATGTGTTCAACACGGTCTTGAACTTTTAAATTAGTGTCAAATAAGCTCATTTATGTCAGGATGCCTAAGAGTTATTAGTGCTTTACTGACATGACATTTATGTGACCTTGACATATCAAGACATTTAAATTTTATTTTTAGATTAGAAATTTGTGGGTACTATGTTAGTGGTCATGTAAATATCTACTTCACACTTTATTTTGCTCAATTTCTTGTCGTTGCCATCAAAACCAACTGATTTTCTCTACCAAAGTTTAAAACATTAATTAAAAATTAAAACAAAAACTAAAATGATAATTTTGTTCTTCTTTTTAGCCTTTATCTTTCTCTTCTTTGCAACTATTCCCTTCTTTTCCTCGTTCATTTGCTCCACTCCCTAGTTCTTAATCTCCAGTCTTCCTTTATCTTTCTTTGATCTCTGCTCCATTTCTTAAACTACAACCCGCATGCAGAAGACAAAATATAAAACTGAGGCGTTGCTGCACATCCATGAAAATTTCTACACTAACAACCTTATGATATATTGTGTGATGAATGTTGTTTCGAACTTTAATAAACATTTTAGGTAAGAAGAGTTGTATGTTTCTTGTTTTGATTGTACCATTTCTTATTTCAGTTATACTATCCT